GTAAATAGAAAACTTTCCCATTAGTTAAAATGTGATCCTAATCAGAAGGAAGCAAAAAGGGCCTTGAAGATTTAGTAAAACAAAATTTATATACCAGTAGCTGTTAATGGAGTTTTCAAGATGATTGTACATGTACTCTTTAGATGACATCTTATTCTTCATTTTATGTTTGAATGCATATATTTCTGAAATAATGCATACTTTATTCTATTTCTAAACCAAAAACAGGATGCACTGTGTAAACCTCTCTTGACTGCTCAGGATTACCTTTGGGAAACTTACTTATTGGTTATATCATTACACCAGAGTCCTCTGGGACTTTTGAAAGATGCCTGTCTCCTTGTCTGTTCTTATGCTTGAATTTTACAAGTTTTCTGCCCCATTGTTGCAAAATATCTGCTTCACTCTCCACAGAGATTCAGAGATCATTCTGATACATCAGAAAGAATCAAACCTTAGAAGTCAACCCAACTTACATTTTTATACTCACCCTGCTAGTCTGTGTGAACTCAGACCATTCACTTACTTATTCAACAGATGTTTATGAATGCCCTGTTCTTACATCAGGGATTCTGTTGTGTATGGCCAAGCAAAGATATATTCCTCTAAGTTTTCTCTCTCCAATTCCAGTGTTTACATGCTGCAGCTCTAGATTAGAAAGGACTAGGAAAATAATAATATGCTTTTGATTCCTGGTTTCTTACTTTTAGTTGGGGCAACAGACTTGCCATGAGAAAATGGAAATGCCATTTCAACATTGTTAAGTTACAATAGAATGAATGAAGGACAAGAAGACTTAAAAATGCCAAGCAGAGAAAGTGAATCTTCACACACACACACACACACACACACAATATTTCAGCCTCTCTAGATGAGCTATTATTTTAGTTGAGTGTTGGCAAACGTAAAGAATATTGATTTGGGGAAAAATGGTAGAGTATAAGAGTTCATAATGTAAAAAGGCTTGAGCAGGAAAAGAAACAACGTGTAAGTTTCAGTTGGCTGAATCATTTAGCAGGGTTTGCCCAAAGGAATTAGGGGCAACGATGTAACTAGGCTTTGTTTGAGGCACAAAGTTAGCTGCTTAGCCCAGCCTGGCCCAGCTCCAGCCCAGCCATTGTGACCATTTAGGGGAGAAAACCAGTGGATGGAAGAATTCTCTCAATTTCTCTGTTTCTCTGCCTCTCCCTCTGTCACTTTGCTGTTCAACTGAATTTTTAAAAATGTTGTTTTAAAGTACTTAATAGCTGCCAAGTATATGCTAAATGCACAGAACTTTGATGATAGAAATTTGGGGTGGGAGTGGGCAGGTAAAGGGTCATGGGAGAAGCAAGCTTTGGGCAATCTGGTCCCACGACAGGCCATAGTGGGAAGAAAAAGGGATTCTGAAGAGAAAAAGGAGTCACCTGGCTATGGGAATGGCAGAATGGAGGAGAAATAGGTGTTGAAATATACAAAAGAAGTTTTCTTAAAACTTTGTCAGTTCATTTATATATAAAAAGGAATTTATTGCTTTTGACATTTTGTTCAAATTGTGGCAAATTGAAATATTGAGGCATAAGATATGCTTGATACACATTTTATCCTTTTAAGTTTTGTTTGCCAAAAGTGAGGATGACATATGGGTTTGAGCTGGGATGAATGGAGAGAGAAGGAACAAGCTGGTAATTTTCAACATAAAATTGAAAAGAAAATATTTCCATTTAAGTAGGAAAGATGTTAACTGGACTGATTTAGAGAATGTGCGTGACTGTTTAGAGGTGGATTTATCTCAAGCAGATGAATAAAATACTCCTTGAGGGAGCTTGGAAACTGTCAAAAGGCAGCGAGGCACTCCTCAGCATTCTTTAAACTAAGTATGACAATGGTAGTAGTTATGTAATAGCAGAGTGAATTCAAATTAGGGGGATGAATGCTGAACTAAAAATGTGAATAGAAAAATGTGTGATTTGTTAAGTTCCTGAGACTAACTGGAAAACTCATTTTGGAGAAAATCTAGATAGATTGGTAATAAAGGCTTAATCAATAATTTGGGGGGTTGGAAGGTCAGATGCGTATGGACAAAGATGGAATAAGTTGTGGTTAGAATTTTAAACCACTTTATCCAAGGATTGAGAAAACTTCTAGATTATTTGGATTCTCAATATTCTTAAGCAATAGGAATTTAAGCTTCCTTTTCTTACACTACAGAGAGCCTACTGTTGGTGACATTGAACAGCCTTTCTGTAAATACTATTCACCTATTTTTGCTGGTTTTCCCATGCCATTTTCTGCTCATCTGGGGAAAAAAAGGATTCCTATTATAATGAGATGGAATTAGTCAGATACTAAAATTTTACCACCAACTTCTCATTATATAATTTCATATCACCTGTTGTATGATAATTAAAATTGGAAAATATATTTTCAGTTTAATGAAGCGTGAGTTTTGGAGTCATATGAACTTGAATTTTTTTATTTTTATTTTTAATTTTATTTTTTTTTAAATTTTTTGACAGGCAGAGTGGACAGTGAGAGAGAGACAGAGAGAAAGGTCTTCCTCTGCCGTTGGTTCACCCTCCAATGGCCGCCATGGCTGGCGCGCTGCGGCCGGCGCACCACGCTGATCCGATGGCAGGAGCCAGGTACTTATCCTGGTCTCTCATGGGGTGCAGGGCCCAAGTACTTGGACCATCCTCCACTGCCTTCCCGGGCCACAGCAGAGAGCTGTCCTGGAAGAGGGGCAACCGGGAAAGAATCCGGCGCCCCGACCAGGACTAGAACCGGGTGTGCCAGCGCTGCAAGGCGGAGGATTAGCCTAGTGAGCCATGGCGCCGGCCATGAACTTGAATTTAAACCCAGGCTTTATCATTTACTGGCTGAATGACTTTGAACAAGTTCCTTGTCTTCTCTGAGTGTAAAAGTCATCATGTGTGAAGGCAGAGCAGGCCCAGTGAAATGAAGTCCTGCCGTAATCAAACAAGATTCACTTATTTATTTGAAATACAGAGTTACAGACAGAGAGATCTGCCATCCATTGGTTTACTCTCTAAATGGCTGCAATGGCCAGCACTGGACAAGGCTGAAGCCAGGAACCTGAGTCTCCCACATGGGTGGTCATAGTCCCAGCCGCTTGGACCATCTGCTGCTGCTTTACTAGACAACCGTATTGGGAGTAGAGCAGCCAGGGCACTAACAGGTACCCATGTGGGATGCCAGTGTCACAGGCATTGACTTTACCTGCTACACCACAGTGTAAGCCCCTGAACTTAAATAAATGAATATGCTTCTGCACATTATCCTGCCCATAGTTTGAAAATCATCATTTAAAAATCTGATACTATTACATCTATGTATAACAAAGCCAGTCATACACTGGAAATTTAAGCAGGTAATTGAATATCCTTGTATACTCTTTAACTCTATTTTACAAATAATGAATAAGAGGCCACTGCTATGGCCTAGTGGGCTGAGCCTCTGCCTGCATCACTGGCAACCCATTTGGGTACCAGTTCCAGTCCCAGCTGCTCCTCTTTCAATTCAGCTCTCTGCTATGGCCTGGGAAAGCAGTAGAGGATGGCCCAAGTGCTTGGACTCCTGCACTCGCATGGGAGACCAGGAGGAAGCTCCTGGCTCCTGGCTTCAGATCTGCCCATCTTTGTCCTTTTCAGCCATTTGGGGAATGAACCAGCGGATGGAAACCCTTTCTCTCTGCCTCTCTGTCTGTAGTTCTACCTCTCAAATAAATAAATGAAATCTTTGTAAAAAAAAAAAAATTTCAAAAATGAGTAAGGGCTTAGCTCATTTCTTTTTTAAAAAATATTTTTTATTTATTTATTTCAGAGGTAGAGTTACAGACAATGAGAGGGAGAGACAGAGAGAAAGGTCTTCTTTCCATTGGTTCACTCCCCAAATGGCTGCAATGGCCGGAACTGCGCCAATCCAAAACCAGGAGCCAGGTGTTTCTTCCCAGTCTCCCATGCGGGTACAAGGGCCCAAGCCCTTGGCTATCTTCTATTGCTTTCCCAGACCACAGCAGAGAGCTAGATTGGAAAAGGAGCAGCCGGGACTAGAACCAGTGCCCACATGGAATGCTGGCACCACAGGCAGAAGATTAACCAACTGTGCCACAGTGCTGGCCCCAGGGTTTAGCTCATTTCAACCTGGTGTAAAATTGCTATTATTATAATGACTATATGCTAAGATCTCTACAGACAATGTTAAGAGTTAGTGAACATAACCACTGATAAAAGGAGTATTTCCCTTCAGATATACAGGGATAAAATTTAAAAATATAAATATTTTAACTAAAGACAAACTTGAGGTTCCGGCAGCAAACTAAGCAAACAGAAACAGTATTCATTTGTAAAGCATTCAGATGTTTGCTTATCCCTTAGTCTAGCATAGAATTCTACATTCCAATTAAGAACTACCCACACAGACATCAAGGTAAATAACTGATGATTAAAGAAAATAAAAAAAATAGGCCCAGAAGTTTAAGTTTGTTGTCCTGGAGTGTGATACTAAGACTGTAGTTAGAGGCGAGGTGATTGTTCTGAGGATGAAATTAAAGTCTTTTGAGCTCATTTCTGTTTTCAAATTCTGCTTTCTATCTGCTAGCAGCAGAATTGGTTGATAATCATTGGAGACACTAATAAAATAAGTTTAATGATAGGTCAGACTAGCTGTCAGGCTTAATGAGGGAATGTTTATTTTCTTTTTTGAAATCTGCAGAACACAGATGTTGGATAGTGGAAGTGTAGAGCGCAATAACAATATTAATTAAGAAAGAAGAGCTTTGATAAAAGATGTGATTGTCTAGAATTGGAGGTCTGATTGAGTTTGTGGCAAATGGGATCCATGGTATTGCCCAAAGAAACATTAGTTGTGCAGCTGTTAAGTGTGCTATATATACAAACATGGTTTTATAGATATACTTGATTTTTTTGATAGAATGTTTTAAATATTCGTCATCATAAATACAGAAATTATAATCCTAGTTTCACTTTTGTCCTTTTAAGTTTCGTAGAAACCCCAGCTCATTTCTCTTGGAAAGAAAGTTATTACCGATCTGCCATGTCCCAGAGCTCACAGCCAAGTGAATTCCTCAGTCCTGAGGTTTTCCAGCATATCTGGGATTTTCTGGAACAGTAAGTATCAAGAAAGCAAGAAATTTTGTATTTGTTTACATGTAGACAAAAGTAGATGACCAAAATATTGCTTTCTAGGCATGTTTCTGAAATCAGTAAAAATCAGTTAACATTGCTGGGAAAATTCATGGCCTTCAATATTATCTGTTCATAATTTAATGGTGATTTGTTGAGTTTCTAACACTGGAAAAAAATATTGTCTTTAGCCTAAGGTGATACACTTATAATTTTGGAGCATCTAGAGAGACTCTCTTGTACATTCCAAATAATATTCTCCAATATCTCATTGTCAAAGTGCATTCTCTAAGCTTGAACAATTACCCATTGCTACAGTGCAAATGTTCCCTGAGAAGGTAACACACTGAATTGCATGGTCATTTATGCCTTCCTGTGAATAGTGCTTTTACTTTTATTAAAAGGGAGTTTGGGTTACTAGATAAATTAAAGTATATACTTTATATATCTTATATATACTTTATATATTTTATATAAAGTATCCATGACACATCCCTTCTATCCTGCTTTCCAACCAGAAATTTCTCTGAAGGAGACATGGATCATTATTTCTATTTAACAAATAAGACTTAGATCCAAACTGCTAGAAAATGCATATCTGGTAAGTGAGTGAGCTACCATAGAAACTGCATATCTGGTAAGTGAGTGAGCTACCATTAAAACCAAGGGACTCCAGGGGCCAGCACCGTGGCTCACTAGGCTAATCCTCCACCTAGCAGCGCGGGCACACCAGGTTCTAGTCCCAGTCAGGGCACCGGATTCTGTCCCGGTTGCCCCTCTCCCAGGCCAGCTCTCTGCTGCAGCCCGGGAGTGCAGTGGAGGATGGCCCAAGTACTTGGGCCCTGCACCCCATGGGAGACCAGGAGAAGCACCTGGCTCCTGGCTTCGGATCAGCGCGGTGCGCCGGCCGCAGCGCGCTGGCCGCGGCGGCCATTGGAGGGTGAACCAACAGCAAAGGAAGACCTTTCTCTCTGTCTCTCTCTCTCTCTCTCTCTCTCTCACTGTCCACTCTGCCTGTCAAAAACAAACAAGCAAACAAACAAACAAAAACCCACCAAGGGACTCCAGGCAGTGAGCTCCTCCAGCTCTGCAGCAGAAAAGGGCCCATTGTTGCCACCTGGGTGAATTGTGTGTTCCTTTCTTCCCATGCCTAACACACTTTGTTTCTTTCTTTTATGCTAGGCCTATATGTTCAGTTCAGCCCATTGACTTGAACTTTGTGGATGAACCATCAGAAAATGGCGCAACAAACAAGATTGAGATTAGCATGGACTGTATCCGCATGCAGGACTCAGACCTCGGTGACCCCATGTGGGTGAGTGGCAGTGGGCCCTCCTGTCTACTCGCTAAACCTTTTCAAGAACATGTAACAAGGCAGGTGGCGCTGAATCAGAAAGGCCATGTAACAAGAACAAATACGAGCAGCTGTGAGAAGATTAAGTGTAGTTTATGGTTTCTGGGCTTGCCTCGATGCTCCAAAATGTCTTTCCTCTGGTATGGGTAAGAAGCTTGAACATAGTTCTTTGCTTCTTTATCTGAATTGTTCCTCATGCCAATTCCAACTTAAAGAGGCTGGTAGCAGCCCAAGGTTTTCCAATAGGTACAGAGAATGAGCCAGAATATAAATGTGATTTCTACACAGAACACTTTCAACTCTGGCAAATTACCTCTCTTACAAAACTGTCCTTTAACGAGGGAGGAGGAAGCAAATTCCATTACAAGACAGGCTAAGATATTTGGTTAGAGAATAAGAAGATAATATATACAGAAAACAAGCTTGTCTATGTATCACTGAGTCACTCATGACCTCAAGCTCCAATTTCTTTTTTACAAAATGATGAGATCTTACGTGCCACATCCCTCCCAGACAAGCTAAGGAGTTTAATAGGTTAATGATAACAAAACACTTTTCTGAGATATTTAGATGTGGTTGTGCAGTTTCAGTGCTAGAGTTTATATTTAAATTTATTTTACTTATTTTTCATTTTTATCTGAAATGTAGAGAGAAACAGAGATACAGTGAGTGAGTGAGATGGAGAGAGAACTTTCATCCACTGGTTCACTCCCTAGATGATTGCTGCAGCTGGGGCTGGGCCAGGCCAAAGCCAGGAGCCCAAGACATGATCCATGTGTTCACCCAGGTGGTAGGGAGTCCATTACTTGAGCCATCATCTGCTGCTTCCCAGGATGCATATTACAGGACACTGAAGTCAGCAGTGGAGTCAGGACTAGAACCAGGCACTCTGATATGGGGTACGAGATTCCCAGATGGTGACTATGCCAGATATCTACCTCCAGGAATTCTGTAAAAATCATTTATTCATGACACCAATCCTGCCATTTACTCTATTAAAACTTTCTAGGAAAACAAGGAAAAAGGTATAAATAGAGTGGGGTTCCATAGAATGCCTGCTGACAAAAATGCGGAGAATGATTTAGAAAATCCTTGCCATCCTTGTTTGATAGAATTTTTGCCGCAAGTTTTGAACTAAAATGTAGTCTGTGATGGGAGGAGGTAAAATAGGAAAAGATGAGAAGAAGCAACCCAAACCAGTTTGGATTCTGTAAATACACTAATGCTCTGCCACTAAATTGACTAGGGAAAAATGTACTTCAGCATTGCCTTTTAAGTTCCAATACAGATACAGTTCTTCAATATCCTTGAGCTAGTAGAGCTAGTGAAATGAAAGTCAGATGATTCCAAGAGGCAGGACAGGACAGTGAAGACTTTGAAATGTATTATAATTTAGCATCAATGATGGCCGGCGCCGCGGCTCACTAGGCTAATCCTCCACCTAGCGGCGCCGGCACACCGGGTTCTAGTCCCGGTCAGGGCGCCGGATTCTGTCCCAGTTGCCCCTCTTCCAGGCCAGCTCTCTGCTGTGGCCAGGGAGTGCAGTGGAGGATGGCCCAGGTGCTTGGGCCCTGCACCCCATGGGAGACCAGGAAAAGCACCTGGCTCCTGACTCCTGCCACCGGATCAGCGTGGTGCACAGGCTGCAGCGCGCCAGCTGCGGCAGCCATTGGAGGGTGAACCAACGGCAAAGGAAGACCTTTCTCTCTGTCTCTCTCTCTCACTGTCCACTCTGCCTGTCAAAAAAAAAATAAATAAATAAAAAACAGTATTTAAAAAAATAATAATCTAGCATCAATGTGTATGAATTCTGATTTGAAAATGACTTCAAAAATTAGAACATTCCAAGTTTACCTAATAATATTGCCTCTTCACTTGATGTTAGCCAAAAGGCAATAATAATATAGCTTCTTTAATTGATGGATGACGTCTGCCTGGCCAAACATACGTTTTTGTATTCCCTCCAAGGATTTTCTGTTCTCATTCTTTGACTCATCAAAACAGTTAAAAAAGTTATCAAAAGCTTTTTCATTCAGCATGTTTGTTACTATTACCTTTTTACACACTGACTCATGTGATTTTCTTAATGTGCCATTGTTGTTCTTTGTGGTCCTGGAAATTTTCTCGTTGTGAACTCGATTCACCATTCACCATTCTTTTCTGTCCCTCAATGCCTACTTTGTGCTACTTTGTCTGGGAATCCTTTCTGTATCACTGTTCCTCACCAGTCTGAATCACGGACCATTGCTCTGAAGCAACCAGGCATGTCCTTTACTGTGTCACCTGTTACTTAATATTGCTGTTGTTTATTTCTTTCTCTGGAAGGGACAGGGATCATATTTTGTTATTCCCAGTGAATACTTGAGGATACGTCTTAGGTCTTAAGGGATTCAGAAAGACTGGAAAACAAAATGAAATGTGGTTTTGCCAATGAAAGAACAAAATAGGGCACTTGGTACAACTGTATTGAAAAATATATAAAAGTACAATGAGAATGAACTTCAGTGAGAAAATAATCTGGGTGCTGTGTTTCATTCTCCAAAGAACTGACCCACTCCTAATAAATTATAGTTCTGTATGGAGGCTGGGTCTTCCCTTGTCAGAGGATCTCCAACGTCCTCATACCCTAATTTATTCATATGTCAATTTTGCATAGTTGGGGCTAGATGACAAGAGGTTCCAGCAACCAGAATGTAAGATGTGGTGCCAGTGCCGTGGCTCACTAGGCTAATCCTCCACCTTGTGGCGCCAGTACACCGGGTTCTAGTCCCGGTCGGGGCGCCGGATTCTGTCCCAGTTGCCCCTCTTCCAGGCCAGCTCTCTGCTGTGGCCAGGGAGTGCAGTGGAGGATGGCCCAGGTGCTTGGGCTCTGCACCCCATGGGAGACCAGGAGAAGTACCTGGCTCCTGCCATCGGATCAGCGCAGTGCGCTGGCCGCAGCGCGCTGGCCGCGGCGGCCATTGGAGGGTGAACCAACTTCAAAAGGAAGACCTTTCTCTCTGTCTCTCTCTCTCTCTCTCTCACTGTCCACTCTGCCTGTCAAAAAAAAAAAATAAAAATAAAAATAAAATAAAATGTGGTTTTGCTGAAGATGTTAATAACTAATGTTCTAGCTGGAAAGTGAGAAGTAGGTTCCTTTTAGAGGCCTAGTCCTTCCAAACTGCTGCTGCCGCTAGTGTGATGGTCTTTTCTTCCGGGTCTTTGAGCATATTTTAACTTTTCCATGTAGCGATTAATAGCTAAGTAATTTCCAAAATATGCACATAAATAATTTAACTCTTTAATATAATATTTTAATAGATTGGGACCTCAGCCAATCATTCTTCACTGTATAGGAAATATGGATCTAAGACAGATTATTAAAGATAGAAATCATGAAAGTGAGAAATTCATCTCATTTTTACTAATATGATATCACTTCTATGTTAATCTCTGGTTATGAAATGAGATCACAATGTTTTATTCTGATTATTAACAAAGTAAATTAGAGTTACAGGGAATGTATGTTTCTTCTTAATTAGAATGATTTTAATGTCACCAAACGGTGAAGTCCATTGGGACAGTAAATGTAGATGAATCTGGTTTATCAAAAAATCTTCAAGGATGGGCATTTGGGCTAGTGACAGAGACAGAGACAGAGAGAAAGGTCTTCCTTCTGTTGGTTCACTCCCCAAATGGCCAATACGGCCAGCGCTGCGCTGATCCGATGGCAGGAGCCAGGTGCTTCTCCTGGTCTCCCATGGGGTGCAGGGCCCAAGCACTTGGGCCATCCTCCACTGCCCTCCCTGGCCACAGCAGAGAGCTGGACTGGAAGAGGAGCAACCAGGACTAGAACCCGGAGCCCATATGGGATGCTGGCACCACAGGTGGAGGATTAACCAAGTGAGCCATGGTGCCGGTTCAAGTTTCTTAAATGGGGGATTCCTATTACTATTCCTATTACAAACATTGATTAGATCCAGTTGTTTATGGTAGTATATAGTTCCTCTGTGTCCCTTTTGATTCTTCTGTCTACAAGTTCTATTGATTACTGAGAGAAAAGTATTAAAATCTTCAACTAAAATATACATTTGTATCTTTCTCCTCTTTCTGTTGGTTTTTGCTATAAGTATTTTGAAGCTCTGTTGTTGACTGAATGGTAGTTAGGATTGTTCTATTTTCTTGGTATACTGGCCCTTCTATCATTATTTAAAACTTCTGCTTATTTCTGATAATGTGATTTTGTTTGTACCAAGATCTGTCTCACATTTATGATTATTAATATGGCACATCTCCCTTTGATTTGTGTTTACATGGTAAATCTTTTCTTCACCTTTTATATTCAGCCTGCATTTGTCATTATATAGAAGTACTTCAGAAAGTTTATGGAAAATATAATTAAAAGATAAATTTGATTGGTGTAAAAAATTGAAATACATGCCTATAATATTTGCTGACTTTTTGAAAAAGTTTTTTATTTGATATGCTTCTTCTACAAAGCATACTCATATAGTTCGGTCATTTTTGTATATTCTGATGGTCTATCTTTTAATTGGTGTATTTACATAATTTGAATATTGTAGTTAATGATAATCTTATCTGTACCATTTATTTCTTTTATGCTTGTTCCTTCCATTATTCCTGTGTTTCCTTTACTCTTTCTTTTTTTTTTTTTTTAGATTCTTTGACCTATTTTTAGCATTCAATTTCCACATTTCTGTTTGGGTTTTGGCTTTATCTGTTTACATATTTTTTAGTGATCACTAAGAATTTTTTTTTTAAACTTTTATTTAATGAATATAGATTTCCAAAGTACAGCTTATGGATTACATTGGCTCCCCCCCCCAATGACTTCCCTCCCACCTGCAACCCTCCCCTTTCACGCTCTCTCTCCCCTTCCATTCATATCAAGATTCATTTTCAATTTTCTATATATACAGAAGATCAGTTTAGTATACATTACGTAAAGATTTCAACAGTTT